TCATAATGTCATTGGTGTGAAATGGATATTTAGAACAAAATTAAACCCAGATGGGTCTGTTAACAAATACAAAGCTAGACTACTAGTCAAGGGCTTTGCACTCTGCATTTTTAAATGGCTATTTGAAGGAAGATATTTATGTAGAGCAACCAAAGGGGTATGTGGAAAAAGGGTCTGACAACAAAGTCTGCAAATTGTTGAAGGCCTTGTATGGTCTTAAACAAGCACCAAGGGCATGGTATGAAAGAATGGATGCACATTTACTGGATCAGGGGTTCATGAGGAGCACTACTAAAGCAACTCTTTATATAAAAAAGGCAAATGAGTCTGTTGAACTTATAGTTGCCTTGTATGTTGATGACTTGCTAATAACAGGACCTGAAACTGAGTGTTTAGCTGAATTTAAGTCTCAAATGTTGAAAGTTTTTGAAATGACTGATTGAGGATTGATGTCCTATTTTCTTGGGATGAAGTTCATTCAATCTTCAGGTTACATCATGATTCATCAAACAAAGTATGCTTATGACTTGCTAAAGAAATTCCATATGGACAAGTGCAAGGCTGTCAGAACTCCATTGGCAGCAGGAAGCAAGTTTTGCAGGCAAGATGATTCATCAAAGGCCAATGAAAAGCTGCATAGAAGTATCATTGGATATTTATTATATCTTGCTGCAACCAGACCAGATTTAATGTATGCAACAAGTTCCTGTCCAGGTAGATGCAGTCTCTAAATACAACTCATTTTATGGCTGCAAAACGTATCCTCAGGAATAAAAGGCACTGTAGATTTTGGTTTGAAGTATTTGAAGGCTGAAAGTAATGAACTTCAGGGGTATTCAGATAGTGATTGGGCTGGCTCTTGTGATGACTCAAAGAGCATAAGTGGCTATTATTTTTCTTTTGGAAATGGGGTATTCTCTTGGAGCGCAAAGAAGTAGGAGGTGGTAGCTCAATCATCTGCAGAAGCCGAGTACATTGCAACTGCTTCAGGAGCAAATCAAGCAGCGTGGTTAAGGAAAATTTTGAATGAGTTGGGTTTCTTACAAAGCAGAGGAACATTGCTTTATGTTGATAATCAGTCTGCAATGGCCATTGCTAAGAATCCGGTTCAGCACAGTCGTACAAAGCACATTAGGGTGAAGTACCATTTTCTCAGAGATGCAGTGAATGAGGGTGAAATAGACCTTGAATACTGTCCCACTAGGGAGCAGTTGGCTAATGTCTTTACCAAGGGATTAAGTGTGGATAGCTTTGAGTTCCTGAGGGACAAATTGGGAGTTTACTCATCTGGAATCAAGGAGGTGTGTTGAAAACTCAGTGATTCCAGCTGGTAAAGTTTGTAGAAGATTCAATTAGGGCCGAAGCAACTGCTGGTTAAAGGAGGAAAGTCAAGAAGCATACTATGTCGTTTTGGTCTTCTGTGAATAATTGAATGAAACGTTTAGTTGTTGTGTTGTTTTTGTTTCCTTAGTTTTTTGGAAAGGCTTAAACGTCAATCCTTTATGTCGATTTTGTCTAGTCTATTAAGGCTATTAAGACACGTTTTGTTTTCTTGTTTTTATTCTCTTGGCCGTTAGGCTAAATTGTTGCAATGTACAGAATCCTATGTTTGGAATTCTGTGCACAGCTAGTGGTACAGCGAAAACACATTTCCCAATGCCGAGTCATATGGCACCGTCAGCTTGATACTCATATAAATATGTATAGAAAAGAATAGTTGGATCTTTCCAAAAATTTCCTCTGAGTTGTTCTTCAATTTTTCTCTGTTTTTTGGTTTTATTCAACCTAGTTCTTTGGTGATTTGAACTCTCTAATTCATCAAAGATTTCTACAGAAACCCTGTTTTGTCAGTTTTTGTTTACTTTTTCTGTCTGATATCCCTTGTGAGGAGGCCAAGCTACAGCAGCATAATTTGGAGTATGGTTAGGCCAAATATTCTTTAATTATATGATGTTAAAATTTATCAATTAAGTAAATGAAAAAGGCTACTAAGTATGGGCTCTAACATAGTATGTATTTTGACAACATGGGATAAAAAATTTTTAAAGCTCAACGATGGATGGGGCTCAAACAAGCACCCAGCTAATTGTTTGTTCTGGCATCCCAACCCCACATTAATCCTTCTCCAGCTAATTAAGTAATTTAATAATTAATTAATTAATTCTTTCTCCATCATTATTTGGACTAGGATTAGGCGGTGAAGCATATGATTTAGCATAAGCTAGGTGGTCCTGTTTTGGTATTTGTTTAATCAACCACTTGCAAACTGATTAGTAGAAAATTACAATGTTTCATAATTTAGAAAACAGCCATCCGACATCGTTGAACATGCAGTCTCCTGCAAGATGATTTCCCACTTTTGCCAAGCACTACTACAGTCTGTGATAAAATTTTTCTTCATCTCGGGAACTATTTTTTTATGGGAAGAAAAATGGAGAGGCTGCTGTTAATTACAGGCGCTGCCGGCTGCTGGGGTGTGGAAGACTGAAGAGCACTGCAGCAAGGCAGCAAGCGCCGGCGGCCTGTGCATGGCAAGATTCTTGCTTATATTGCTCAAATGGTTTCTCATAACTCTCTTTAACACATATATATGCTCTAGGGTTTGTAGTTGTTTTACTTTTTGTTTGCGGGGTCGAGGTGTGGGGGCTAGAATTTCATCTATCCTAGGATAAGATACTACATTTTGTCTACCCTTTTATCATTTTGTGACTTTGTCAAAGGAATGCATAGTTAAAAGAAGCGAATTAAAAACAGTGGCCTCATATATCTTAGCTAGTAGTATTAAAATATGGTCCATTTTCCAAGTTATTTATTGGATTTGATATCAAGGAGGGATTACAGAATTGATGCTTCACCTGCTAGGCTTGTGTACAACATCAAAACTAATTGATATCATTATCATCCTACATGACATCACTTTATGAGATGATTAAGCTGATTTGATTACTGTATCGTTGACAAGTGATAAACCAATCATTAACACTACAATATTTGTCCTAGATTTGCAGGCTTTTATTGTAGTTTGTTTCCTTTTATCTGTCCTGTGAGTTTTCTTTTGCTTCCTTACCCTGGAGCCATCTCCTTATAATCATTTGATGTGTCTTTCTTTCTAGGGAAAAAGATAGAGAGACACATCCTTTTGAGTTTAAACTTGGATGTTTTGATGAATTCCGAAAACAATTGAACAAAAACCACCCACGATAACATAACAACTCTGTCAAAAATGAGAATCCAAAAACCAAAGAATCAGCCGTTCGATTGCTACTAGCCATACATATTCCTACTAGTCCTGGATGTCAGAAGAAACAGGGAACTACGTATATATTACTCAAGAAGCTGCAGAAGATAAGGAGCGGTGCAGAAAACCAAGATATTATAGCAAGAGATGCGGAGGGACTCCTGTCGTAGGAGAGATGACGCTTCCTGCCATCAAAGAGGCATGCATCCCTTTTCAATTTGAGCGGTAAGCTTCATCTCTCCTTGACTGAAGCCCCTTCAATTTCTTCCAAAGGTGTATATTTTATACTTGGTTACTCACAATTCTTCGAACTTGACCAGAGGTAAGCACCTCCTTTCTGTTTATTTTACCAGTCCGGTGAAGTGTATATCATATCTTACTGCTTCTAATGGCTTGTATGTCCTGTAAAATAGGTAGGATTTTGCCTGCCTTCTCTTCCACTAATTAGCTAAATGCTTTCGGTTATTTCACATTCTTGTTGCATCCAATGAGAAAGGACTCGTGTACTTGCAAATTGGAGATAATATTGGTGCCTAAAGGTAATGGATAACGAACAAGGAAACCACGATTTTCATGAGGATAAATAAACTCCTACGACCCAAAAGAGAATCTTGTGGTAATTTGCTCTTCATTTATCAGAAGAAACTCATTAATTAGTCTGCTATACTTTATTTTCTTTAACTCGTTACAGACGTTAGGCCCAACATCCGCCATTGCAAGACTAACAAAAGGAGCAGGAAAAGGGGTTCATTCAGACGGTAAGTTGGCAACTGAAAACGTGTTTAACAACCCAAATCCAGCCATCAATTTTGCAGTGTTTACAGGAGAAAACGGAGCAGACGAAATTGTGAAAGCAGAAGAAGGTTTTCCTTTTGGCTCTCGTGATTCAGCATCAAAGACTGCAGTTGCAAAGCCACGATTAGTGTGATGGAGATCATGTGTAGCAATTGGCTGACTACCTTTTTTTCACTTTGTAAACCAATCTAGAGTCCATTTGAATAAGTTGATCAAATTTATGAATCCAAGATTCTAATAGACAAAAAAATCTCTACTAAGGTTTTATTCTTTCACTGTATGTATTACCAGTATTGGGTTTCAATACACAAAATACATATTACATAAGAAAATATCATTAACTGTAAAAGTAATTCATTAAGCATAATAATAATAGTAAATCCATCATTAGTTCTCAGGTCATTAGTATTATTTTCATAAATAATCTGGACTTATTTGGAGTCTCTGACAGCTTCAGCTTGAAATTAACAATGACATATACGTCTTATGCTAATAAAATTCACTTTTTTACCAAAAAAAAAAAAAGAAAAAAGAGGTCTTATTTTCATAAACGATGTATATTTTATAATCGATTCAATTTGAAATAAAACCGTGTAATCCAGGGCATGAACAAGTAACTAGTCCTTTAAAATGGGACAATATTATATTTCGATGGTAGTAAAATTAAAACTTTTCTTCAACAGTTGTGATAGTTACATAACACTACAAAAAAGATACTAAGATTTCAGTGGGGGCAACTGCCCCCGTTTCCACCACTGTAAATCCAACTCCGATCACCGCTCTATAATTGATATCCATCTTAATCGAGGTATTATATAAACCAGAGAGATCATGTATACTTCTATCATTCCTTTTACCCCTTACCCGAAGGATCAGTTACTACTGGATTGCATCATCTCCATCTTCTGATATGAGCATAACCCAACCCATTGGCATGAGTGCCTCCCTTAGCAGGTTTCCATTGGTATTATTTGCATTGCCGCGGCCTAAAATTGTCATTGGATAGAAGAGAGCTGATCAAAGTTTCCAACCTTTTCGCTCCAGGACCCGGCCTGAGGACTGTTGTATTACCAACAACAGAACAAGGATCAGTCCCATTTTTCCCAATTCCTACACACCAACCGCCAGGAGTTGACATTCCTGGACCCCGAGACAACAGCTCAGAGTCAATTTTGTCAAGCACTGGGTCTTCCTGAGGGAACTTTCTCGCAAAAGGAGCATTGCTGTCTATCATTCGTTGCATGTCATTAAGCTTGAGGTGATGCGGATGCTGCTTGGGAGGGTTATCCCATGATATAAAATGGAGATCACTGTTTACAGTAGTGTTACGGAACTCTTGAGCATTACAAATGACAGTGTGGAAGTAACCTTCTGGAGAAGATAAAAAGTTTGCATAGTACATGAGGGCTGTTCGAGGTAGGTTGTCCCATCCCCAGATGCAATAATCAATAAAAGGGCGAGAAAGTGCCATCCACGCAGAACCTATTACACAAAAAGATATACTTGTTAGAGATACCTAATGCAGACACTACTAGACATACATATGGCTGTCTAATAGATTCTTGCAACAAGGTAGTTCAAAGAACATTTTGCCAAAGAACAAATGATCATATTTTCCGATCAGAGTAGCATACATGATACAACAGCCAATTCCAGATGTAATCAACCACTTCATGGGAATGTTCCAATATCCGGACTTAAAAGCATACTACTTCATGAGAATGTTCCAGTAGCATACTAATGTTTCTTCTCATTAAGTATACTAAATTAGAATATATTTTCTCTAATGAGACTCAATAAACACAAACAATTGATCACAAGATTAGATTATTCAACGCATAATCATGAAACTTATGCAAAAAGCACAAGTAGTCACAGACTCACAGTTATCATGAAATTTCAATGAAATTGCAAACTTACAAGTTACAAACTTAACATAACATACATGCATATGGTTCATCGTTTAGATATCTGAGTTAATTGGAACATTAAATCTATACTGTTTTGCCTTAAATTGTTAATTTACGAAGTTTTAAAGAACAGAACTATTTTGAGCCTTCATTTTACTTTAGTTACCTTCATCCACATTTATCAAATAAATAACAATCCTACACATAAAGGAAATCAAATGACATGGTATGTAGAAATGCAGAATCACACTGACTTAAATCAGAAAATGAATATGGAAAGGTAGAAAATAAAAGAAAAACAAAAAGAAAATTAATAAAGAAATGTTGTCAGCTAAACTTGGAAGCCAAAAGTAAATGATCACGTCAGTCCTAGCAACACAGAACAGAACAAGAATAAAGCTATATTTGGTTAATTAATTGCCATGTAGCAATGCAGAATCACACTGACTTAAATCAGAAAATGAATTCGGAAAGACTGAAAAAAAAAAAAGAAAAGAAATAAAGAAATGCTGTCAGCTGAACTTGGAAGCCAAAACTAAACGATCACATCACTCCTAGCAACACAGAATAGAACAAGAATAAGGCTATATTTGGTTAATTAAGTCCCTGTCATTGCTTAAAATAAGCATTCCGTGTGGCAATAACTTCATCATCCTATTAAGCCTTAGTTATGAGAGTTAAGTAAAGTTTATTTTATGCTAAGAAGCAGTTTTGACTTCTGTGTTCTCATCAAAGAGATGAGAAAATTCAAGGACCTGCCGCAATATGACATTTAATTTCGTTTAAAAAAAGAAACACTAAAAAATAATAGGCTATACTAAGGATAGGAACTGTCAGAGACGAACTAGGCCAGGTTCAAAGGAAACTTGAGTGATCTCAGGGCTTTAACTTCTTCTGTAGAAAGAGGGAACACAGGGGAAAATGAATGCTGACAAGTACAGATAAAATTATCTTTTTAGCACATCCAAGTTTCCATAAACACTTTGGCAATATTATAAAACTAATTGTAAATGAATATGCGAATGCTCAAGAAGCATATCTCTCCTGAAAAACCTTTCAATTTCAATGTTTTAAGGGGAAGTGAGAGAGTGAATTGATAACCATGAATTCACTGCATAATTGACAGGGGCATTATCAAAAACTCCCAGAGCAATTCAAAACGTTTCCATGGCTATTGAGGAACAAAGAGAAGATATAAGTAAAAAAATTTAGTTTATTAACAAGATATTTCTGCCTTGCACCAATTTTCCTGAATGTTTATCACCAACAATCCCTTGTGCCCAGCATCAAAGCATTCTTAGTGTGCATTTATACGCAATAGTGCATTTATATGACACTGCAACTAGTCATTTAAACGAGTGAAGCAGTGTAGACATGCCATTCTACAAGTTCTACATATTTGTCCACTTCCTTTGGATCAGAAATTCCAAAATCTTGTAATGAAACGAGAGGCATTAAAAACAAAATTATTATCTTCTAGATAGTTGCATCAATAAGCTGCTTTCATGCAATCAGAAAGTAGAAGAGAACATGAAAGGAGAAATTGCATGTTCTCCACAGTCCACCCAGTTGACCTCAATCCAAATTTTAGTTCAATTAAATCTGTTGTTCTCTGAAAACCCAGAACCAGAGAACATAACGTTCAGATTTCAAAAGTCTTAACTTTTGACCTCTAATTTGCTTATTAAAGATCATCAGGTGAAAACTAGATTCCTATTTGAACCTCAATTTCACCATCCCAACAATATAACCAAATTTATTCAGTGAAAATATTATCTAAAAGAATTTTTAAGATCTCCCGGAAATCATTATATGACCACCAACTATGCCAAGAAAATGAAACAGATTGAACTGATACACAGAAAAGACTACATAGGCTGTATCTCTAAACAGAACTAATCGAAAATTGGCAAATACAGCACCACCAAAATTACCACAACTAAATACACCTGAAAAAAAAATTGAGGCTCTCAGCATCTTTACCTGTAAAGAGTTTGAATGCAGTTGGAACACTTCTCCTCTGTGTTACCCAAAAGACATCAGCTTTTTTCACACTATACAACCCTGGATCTATAATAATTGGCTTTGCCCGCTGAAACCTGCCAATTACAACAACAAAACCCAGTGATCACTCAGTTTCCAGAAATATAAAGATAGCCAAAAAAGGAAACTCTAAAGAAACGTAAAAATTAAAAGCATTAAAAGAAGTACTCACTCCTTCCACCCAATATTGCTTGTATGATCAATGAAATTCAGATCCCTTGGCAAGTATGAAAATGTGTGCAACAGATCTGAAAAACACCCAAAATCCCATATCGAAAACCAAAGTCAAATGTCCAAAAAAACAAAGCTAAAAACACAAAGGAAACGGTTTTTTCCAATACCCAATTCCAAAAATCAAAGAAAGAGGATGGACTTTCACGCAAAATAAAAAATGGGAAAAAATTATCTTTTCGGAAGATCCAACTCACCATCTTGGGTAACAAGGGGATAATCAGAAGCACTAAGATTAATAAACCAATCCCAATCTCCTCCTTCTTTCAACAAAATTGCAGCAGCATGAAGCGTATTAGCAACCATAGTAGGTCCTCTATAAGTAACCAAATTAGCTTTCACAATCATCCTAACATTCCCAACTTTATTAAACACTTGATGATCTTTCACAAACTTCTCCAGATCGAGTCTCTCTTCAGAGCTAGCTTCCCTGTCAAGATGGACTACGTATTGGTTTAAGGGATGGTAAAGCGCTAAGAGGGTCCTTTTCAGCATGCGGCCGTCGCCGGCGGAGCCGGAAACGAGGTATGCGAAGCGGGGAGGGGGAGGGAGGGTGGAGATGGGGATGGGTTTTAGCTGGTTCTCCACGAAAGTGGAGGAGCCGCCGATTACGGCGGAGGAACGGTAGAAGAAAAGAAATGGGGAGCCGTCAAAGGAGGTTAAGGTTGTTAGAAAGAGTAAAAATAAGGAAACAATGGAACCAACAGCTAAAGGGAAGATCCATCTGCGCTCCATTGCTTGATTATTATTGTGACGAATTTGCATGTAATAGGATTTTAATCTCTTCATTTCTTCTTCTTTTTTTGTTGTCTCTCGTTCTCCCCTTGCTTGGATTGGAAAGCTTGGGAGAGAAAAGGAAAGGGCAAAAGTTGTGAGCTGATCTGAGAGAGTTAAATTTGCTGCTTTTGGAGTGAATTTAACTTATTCTTTGAGCTTTCTTTTTCTGGTGCGTGTTAGATACGGGGAAGGAAAGTATTTCGCCGTGAATGTGGGGGAGCTTAGGAGAGATTAATTAAGGCTTCATTTTTGGATTAATTAGGACTTAATGTGGGGAACCATGATGACTTTTGCAAACAAAATATCTAGACTCGTTTTATTTCTTTTTTTTATACAGTTTTTAGGTTTAATTATCATAACAAATATTACTATAAAGAAGAATAATTACATATATATATATTATTATAAAGATATGACTTCAATTTAGATCGATAATATAAGGAATAAATATATAATAAAAATGAATATACTCTTTGCTATGGTATGGTTACGATAATCTCTTCTCAGTTTAAGATGATGGTGAGTTTTTTATTATGGAAAATGTGGCTTTTGGCCTTTCTATATCAAATGGTATATTATTCTTTGAGTCTGATTATTTGATTGTAACTAACAATTTTTTTTCTTTTAATTCAATATATATATGAGAGAGAGCTTAAAAAAATTGGAAAAATGCTAAGTAATTATATGATCTTGTAAGAATATACAATAAAACTTTTATAAATTATTGTCCTGGAATTATAAAAATTTTATTTAAACAAAATATTATTTAATCGATAAATTAATAATTTATTAATTTATACATTAATTAATAAAAAATTAATTTATCAATGTATTTTTTTTTCAAAATATTGAAGTTAATACATGTATTGTATATTGTGATTATAAGAATATTATTTAATTATCAAATTACGAATTATAATTATTTAATATTAATTAAAATTATTAATTTATCGAGTATTAATTTATCGGGCTTTTACTATACTAGCAATGATAAAATATTAAGAATTTGTATTTTTATTAATGATTGGTGTATGATTTTTTGTGAAAAAATTTAATATTGGAATTATTTTTCTTAAAATAAAAAATTAAATTTTATTAGTCCAAGAAATAAATTTAAAAAAAAGGGTTTCTAAACTTCCAAATCAAAATCTTATTGCTTAACTATTAATGAACAGATTTTTTTGGCTATAAGCTAAACATAAAACCTCTCTAAATCTTAGCCATATGTAACAATTAAGTTAACAGCCTTTTTTTTAAAAAAAATCTCGATTTATATGATCAAGAATGAAGATTTCCACAATCAAAACTCAAACGTTCCAAATAATATAAATTTTGTTGTAATATTTTTTTTATTTAAGACATACTTGAATATACAACTAATTTCATTTCAAAGTTAGGTATTTATGTCAAAGATCTTATTAAAGAAGCAAGGCAACCCACATCCTCAGTTGTTAATTAATTAGTAGATTTTTGGTTTACAATTTTTAATTAGATTTTTTGAAATGATTGATAACCCCACACATGTATAAAAATAAATAAATTAAAGTCCTATTAATTTTTTTCCCTTTTAAAAAATTCATGTCCTACAATTTTAAATCAATAATAATAATAATAATAATAATAGTATTATCAAGACCAAGGCTTAAGTTTTTTTTTTATTATTTCTCTCTCTCTCTCTTCTTTAAGTAAGAATAAGATAAAGCTATCACTAAATTAATTGTGCAATGAATTAATCTTTTGCTTTAGGCCATAATTTCGCATATATGCAAAATTTTCTTTATAAAATTATGTTAATGCTAGACCAGAAACGATGATAGAGATGGTCTCTCTATTGGGGCATTTCTTCCATAAGTCGGTTGACTTTGGAAACACGCTGAGAAATAAATGATGAATTACTCCTCTACAAGTTAAGTCATGAGAAAATTCCGATTGAAATTATACATTTTCTTGGAGACATAGCTGATTTTAGTTGAAAGTTAAGGACGAATGATATAACAAATCACATAAGCAATATTAACGCTGGAAATATACGAGAGAATCAATTTGAATTATCATTACAGTCATGATCTTAGCACAGCACGTTTTCATTCTTGAATTTTTTTTTTTCTCAATTTATATATATATATATATATATATATAAAGATAAAAGAATTTATGTCATTTGGTTCTTAACGGGTCATAGTGAAACTCTTAATGAGAGTAATTAAAGAAGTTAAATACTCAATTTTTTTTCCTTGTTTGACTTTGACCCAATTTAAATCAGATCCTTGGTATTCGTTGTAATGAAGTAGATTATGCAACATGCAAATTTATTAAATGTACATCAGTCATAATTTGGTGAGATGTTTAAGGAATAGTTTGATTAAAGTGTCAAAGATTACTTCAACTAATTTAACCATATACTTGGAAATTGGGATTCATAATCATTCCCCTTTGAGGGGACCAAAGGAAAATTGACCGGAGAAAGAATGGCATGGCATGAAGAAACTGGAAACCTGTTGACCTAACTCAGTTTGTCACCAGTGAAATTCATATTCTCATTGATTGAGACTGAGTGACTCTTTAACTGGAAACTAATAAACCTACCAAACCAAATTGGCCTGCTCTTATCCAAAATTAATACATAATTTACCTTTGTTTTCTGCATTTTAAGTATTAAGTATGGGCTGATGAGTAAATGACAAATGAATCAACTATCTGCCAATCTTGGTTAATAGCAAGGTTCAATTTTTGTTATAGTCCAATAACCTTTGTAGGGCTGTTGTCTAGTTCCAAGCTTTGCTATGTTAATCAACTATCCTCTTAGTCAATCCATCAACAAATATATCTTCAGCCTTAACTTATATCATCTTCAACTTATTCTATTCTTAAAGAAATTTTTATTAATTCAACACTTGTTCACTTAAACGCGCATATTAAATATCAAATTTGGAATATTTCATTATCATCAAAATTAACATAGAGTTAACAATTTCTTCTTTTTTTTTATTTCTTTGGTGTGCAATGTGGAAATCATTACAAAAATATCAAGCTAACCAAAATTAAAATAAATTACTTGAGGAGATAATCTTGCATGTTCTTTTTCTTTCTTTCTTCATTTTTTTTGTTAAAAAAAAAAAACTCTTACAATATATGCTAATTTCCTTGTCTCCTTGCATGATCTCTGCTCACTCTTAGAGTTGAAGAGTGTGCTGCAAATGAAATAGTATAAGCAAAAGGCGCTTGTTATTAACCTAAGAAAACAAAATTATAATTTGCTAGAATTATAGGTATGCATTAGAAAGCAAGGAGAATCCAATATATGCACAGCATAATCAGCTCAAGAGAACGTGATTTACAACAATACCAAGAGAACAAAAAAATTCCATTTACACCAGTAGAGAGAGTTGTTAAATATGAGTTGATTAAGAAAGGATCATGACTTCAAAATTCCTCTTTCTCTCATTCTGTTCATGATTTGCGACGCGTCATTTAGTCTGTTTCCTCTTTCATAAATGCTGGAAACAACAAGATGCAGCTCCTTTTTATTGATGTTAGGATCAGAATCAAGCTTTTCAAACAGTGACTCTACCATCTTAAAGTCTTTTCTAGCACCACAAAGACTCAGCATTTGGAAGTGAACTTCATCAGGAAAGACACATCCTTCTTCCTGCATCTCCTTATATACAGCATCTGCTTTGTCAAACTCTCGCAACTTCCCGTAGGCATTCAGCACCAGGGCAATCACATTAGAATCAGGAAAATTCCCAGCACTCCTCAGCTTCTCAAACACCTCAATGACATTTGCATGCTTCTTATTCCGTGAGAAAAGATCAATCATCAATCCAAACACAGATATATCCTTCACCTCACCAGCATCACATGCCTGTCGAAAAACCCACGTAGCCTCTTCAATCCGACCAGCATGAGCAAGAATCATAATTGCTGTATCCCTAGGGAGATTCTCCGGTTGCTTAAGCTCATGAAGCAAGCGCTTAGCATGAGCAACCAAACCGGCTCTTTCATAAGCCACAATCATTGTTTGATAAAGCACCTGATCAATCTCAACCCCAGAGCTCCTCAACTTCTGAAATAACATTGCAGCCCTATCCAACTTCCCTGCCTTACCCCATATAGATATTATGGTTGAATATGTAATGGCGTTAGGTTCAATCCTTCTATTTTGCATCTCTTGCATAAGATTATACGCCTTTTCATGCTCGAGAGACTTTCCATAAATCTTAATCATAGTATTATATGTAACAACATTCTGCTCAATATCCTTCCTATGCATCAACCTAAAAAGATGAATTGCTTCCCCGTAAAGCTCAGCCTCACCATAAACCTTTAAAAGGGTATTATAGCTAACAACATTCGGCTCAATCCCCATCTTCCTCATACCCCAAAACAACCTATCCGCCTCCTTCACCATATCAAGCTGACCATAAACATCAATCATAATATTGCAAGTGGTAAGATCAAGTGGACACTTCACTTCGTTCATCTCAGCAAACACCGATAATGCCTCAACAAACTTTTGATTCTCCACATACATATTTAAAACAGTTGAATAACTAACTGTATCCGGCATGACCCCAACATCCCTCATTTCCTTAACCAACAACCTTGCTTCTCTAAACAACTTAGCCTTCCCAAACACATTAATCATCGAATTATAACAAACAAGATCAGGCACGATTCCCGACCTCTTCAACTTATTAAAAATTGAAATAGCTTTGGAATAATCTCGTAGCTTCCTCGATAACTCAATCAAATTGCTAAAAAGAACAAGATCACCCGAAACACCGTCATTTTCCATCTTTTGAAGCCAAGACAAAGCGGAATCAAACATGCCCTCTTTCCCAAAATACGTTATCAATGTCGAATAAGTAAACCTGTCGGGTGTTAACCCTTTTTCACGCATTTCTTCAAACAGGCCATGGGCAACTGCCCATTGTTTAGCTTTCACCACGTTTCGAATAACAACGTTGTAAGCGAAGAGTGAAGGCGAGTAACGGGCTTCTTCGTTGACCCAGTCGAGCAAAGCTAACGATCTTTGCCAGTCTGTTTCGCGGGAAAGGAGGGATACCATGAAACGGATTGAGAGTTGGCGGGTTTTGTATGGGGATAGAAGGGTAAAAAGGTCTTTTCCGTTTTGCGTTTTGGATATGGAAGCGAAAAGCTCTTCCATGTCGATGCTGTGGTCTAAAAAAGTGGAGTTTTGGGAGGGTTTTGGGCGGTAAAACGGTGCCGTCTTGGATCGTCTCCATATGTCTTTGGTTGGAGAAGAAGAAGAAGAAGAAGAAGAAAGTGCCTGGAGGGTGAGATGGTTTCTGCCGTTAGTTGTGAAGGGTGTGGTAGTGTAAATTTGATGTTTGAGGAGGGGTAGAAAGGAAAAAGAAAAGGACGAAGACGCAGAAGTTACGGTTTCTGTTTGCATGGAAGAGAAAGATGAAATCATCGTCTGAAGGGAGAAGAGGACTCTTGGATCAGTGATGGGTCAGACGTTTGAAAAGGTTTGAATTTTTTGGCTGCATAGGCCGAGTCTTCCGGACCCAACTTGTCTTTGAGGTGGGCTTAGACTTGCATTTAAGGTTCGGACATGTTAATATTATGCCCCACTTAGGAAATATTTCAAACAAAAAATATTTTATCTTCCCGTGCAATCCATCAAAACAGATGAATTGTTTTAAAATATTAAACTATATAATTAATCTTCGTACCTTACAAAAAGAATAGATTTAATCTTTATACAATAATTTATATAAATTAAATTGTTATCTTTTTAAATTTGATAATTACAATCTTTTACTTTAATACTGTTAAGCACGCTGACACGACATTGACTATGAATTGATATAGCATGGTCGTGTTGATGTGGGATAAATGTTGACATAGCATAAAGCTAACATGGCATAATATTTTATTTTTAATTAAAAAAATTATTTTTTATAATTTATAATATTAAAAAAATTTTATTTGTAACTTTAATATGATTATTTATTTTTATTTCATTTTATTTTTTAAAATATTAATAATTTATAGTTTATTTAAAAGATTAATAATTTATAATTTAATAAAATTTTCATTTAATTTTTAAATTTACAATGTTAATTTTTATCATTTATAATTAGAATTTTAAATTTTTTATTTTAAATTCTTTTTTGGTTCTCTTTTTTTCTTTTCCTTTTCTTTCTCCTTTGTTGGTTAGTCACTAGAGATGTGGCCAATGTAATGGAGCACTGATTCGGCACTCCTTGTGGTAAGATCTGGCTATTAGGGCACCAGATCAGTGCTTTCTACAATAGGATTTGGTTATGAGTTGCCAAATTTGATCGTAGGGTTCTAGTTAAGGAGCGTTTGATTAGCATTTCCTCAATTGTATTTGGTTGATAAGCATCATATCACGCTTTCTACAGCCAAATCTGGTTATGCTGTCATCTCTTCCACCGTTCTTTATTGGTAAAGGAAATTTAGAAAGAGAATGAGAAAGGTAGATCAAGAAGAAAGAGAAAAAAAAAAGGAAAAAAATGAGATAAAAAGAAAGTATTTAAACGTCTAGGTTAGTAATTTTTTAAATGGACAAGGGTATTTTAGTCTTTTATTTTTCGATACCTATTTCACCGGGAATGGAATACTTAATACTAGGGTGGAAGGTAATGGTATATAGAGTTTGTAGGGAATAGCCATTTTTTTGGAATGACTAAAGGAATAAAGTAATTAGTTTGATTTTTTTTAATTTTTTTAATCATTAACCAAATAAGTTTATGACGTGTGATGGGGTAAAATAGTAAACACATAATTTCTAAGCGATAATTTTTAATGTCACGTCATCTGTCATGTGATTGGGATTTTGCCTTATACTCAAGCATGAAATTAGAAAACATAACACAATGATAAAATAGAATATACATTTAATCAAAGAAACAGTTGAATCTCACATGATCAATATTTATGCTTTTTATGTAATTTTTAAATTAATTATGAACATTCATAAGTTTAAGTATTACATACTTACTCTATATATCATAAATCAAGCGCCAATTAAATCTAAAAAGGTTTGAAATGAAGTAAGAAATCCAAAATAGAATAAGTTAGTTTGAAATCCTCCAGTCAAAATCTTTACTTTTTCACTTTTAGGATTCGCCAAATATTCAACTACCTAAGCATTTGGCCTCTAATAGTAATCCATACAGTGACTAAATAAAACCTTATCAAAGATAAGATTTTACTTGTATTAGCAAGTTTTGTTTCGAAAACAAAAAAACTAAAAGTTTTTGCCGAATCTAATTTCTATCAGACAAAAACAACCTATTTTTCTTTTCTTAGTTTTATGCAATGACTAAGAAGGGGTTGAAGGCTTAGATTTTTAGTTGGCTAACATAACATATTTATATAGCTAAACTAAGTTGTAATCCTAGATACAATATTTGTATTTTTATTCAATTAAATCCTTATGAACTTAATTAATTTTCTAACTTTATTTTGGTCTATTTCAATTAAGTCCAACTTAATTGATTATCTTTATTTAATCTCAATCATGTCTCTTAATATGTGTGACCCATTAGGTTTCTAACATGCTAGTAATAAATATAAATCATAATCAAATAACAATTGATAATCGATTTATATTTATAGATTATGCGTGGTATCTATAACATATTATGACCACCCAAATGTTAGAAAGTCAATTAAAGAATTTGACAAACCCTTCAAAGATAAGTCTTTGAATATAATACGATTCTTTCATCAAATATATTGGATATGTCATAAAGCATGGCTTAGTGTCTACTTATAACATTATATATTAGTTCTCATATTTTATGACTAACTTTATGAACTCAAGAAACTAACTTTTCTCAAATTGATCATGCTTTGGCCAAATACTTTATATAAGTTAATCTAGAATTAAGAACAAATGAGATACTTCTCTTTATATCACTTGGGGTGATAAATTCTCTCTTGACCACTCATCCACATTTGTATGCTTCATGTCATACCCAAAAACACCTTGTTTAGGCATCTAGTTACTTCTAGACTTGTAAAGGGTGAAATCAAAGTATGGTATTCTCCATACAAGATAACCTGATGTCTTAAGTCTAAGAACTAGTTGTACGACTATTACATGAGAACATATTCCATAGACATTTGAGTAAAATGCCAAATGAAGTTCTTATAACGAGTCATGCTCAATGAACTTGTTCTCTAACAAGCACCCATATGCCATCTTCAAGTATCTTATATACTTTAATCTATGAGTTCAATTGCTTACTTATTAAGTAAGACAGTTTAACATGTCCTAGTCTTTGAGTACTGTTAATGTCCTGTCTTGATAATACAATGACCAGGAACAATTTTAGGAACGTAGCTTTGATGCATAATGATCTCATAATTATAAGAACTTTATAATTCTCTTACAAGACCTTTATGTTCCATGGGCTTCATCCAATTAGTACTTAATAACTCTTTATTATTACACTAACATGAAGAAAAACCTCTATCACATATAGTTATGTGATCAAATATGCATTAAATGACAGCATATATTCCTTGACCAATCTAATTGGCTTAAGGGCATATATCAACAATCTCGCACTTGCATTTAAATCAATTGCTAACGTATCCAATATTGAACTTTTTCACTAAATGACTGTATCTCTACTAGGACAACTCAAATTGTGAATTTGAGAATATGTTAATTTATATGCTTGATGATCCCCATTGTCATCATCGAAGTACTCATTTAGATCATAACAAGACCCTAATTCTTTTATTATGACTCATGTTGTTACTTTAACAACTTGAAATCATTATTGGTTTGTTAAACCATAGATCTAAAAATCTCTCTTTTTGCAGTCTATACAAAAGGATTTGTATCCAATTATAGACATAATTGTGCAATTAGCCTTTGTTTTGGAACCATTCCAATATGATTGCCCAATCATGACATTATGTCACTTTTAACACTTAGGATTCCTTTTATGTTAAACTCCTGTAATACGTCATCCTAAATTCTTTTGTTGAGTTTCCTTTTAAACTTTAACTATTTAGTCATATTTTATTTTATTTTTTTAAACTGGCAAATGTATCTTATACACTTTTAATGAGTAATTTATCTTACTCGTACTAACCTTATGATGTGTACAAAATATGTTTATCTTATTTAATGTGTTCAATTACTTTGAATTTATTCCATTGAATAGATATTATTATCCAATCATTTATGTTCGATCATTTAGTAAACTCATTTTATATGAGTAGTGCATCAATATGCAACCTACTATTGGTTTGTATTTAACGGATGAATTTAGCATCTTTATACATCCCATTAAATCAATCTTTGTACAAAGATCTTATCTATTGGATTTTATAATTTCATGACCTTTGACCTTTAAAGTGTCATTGGCTCCCACTATTTCTATCATGTATAGAAATCTTACCAAGTAAACTTATTTACTTTCCTTTCGTGTGTTATATCCATAACATTTATGTGTACTTACATATCATAAATCTTTCATCATTGGTTATGAGATGAAATCCTTTTAAAGGTTAGTTCATGCAATTAACTGGGCTTACAATGCTTTTTGATTCATTTCTTATGAATTCAATATGATAATCAATTGTTATTTAGTTTTAAGAAATCTTAATTTAGATCTTTTATCTCAATAAGAATACTCCTTAACTAAATGTGTTCATAATCTTGTTATGAATTCATTGAGTTAGGACTCAATTTTATCTAAGTCGTCTTATTAATTTCCTTTTGATTCATAATAAAAGAAAAAATGATGTTATGACTTAGTATTGATTATCATGTATGCAAGGCTATTCCTAAGGATAAATAATTTAGAACAATTCCAAAATAAAATGAGATGTAATGTAAATATAAATATATAAACTAAGTATCTCGTGCTAGCAAAATATAAATCTATGTTTCCCAAACATAAAACAAAATATTAGGCCATAAGTCCAAAACCAAAACATCTCATTTTGGCAATCATGCCATAAAAACATTCAATGTTCTAAAATTATTTATTGTTTCACAATCTAATCTAGGCCGATAAGCTTGATCACCATCAGCTGAGGTTGTTGCTTTCATGGTCTTATTCTTCACTACTCCTTATTATTATTTTCTACAATATGTCATCATATCAAAACATTAATAAAGAGAAAGGTATCATATACTAAGCAGTGAAAAACAAATCATCATATGATTCATACTTGAAATAGAAGTTTTTTTTTTATTTCTTCTTTTTGATGGATTAAGATAATCCTTGTAATTACACTGCCTATGCCTTAGTTCGCCATAGAAATGGCATTTGTCATTGTCTTTATCCTTTTTCACTCATCTAATAGGCTTTATACCTTTTGAAGTTGATGCCTTTTCACCTTTATCTTTCTTAGAAAATTTTCTTTTCTTATTTTTATTTTTCTTAAAATTGACAAGATGAATTGAAGGTTTCTCTTTCATAATGGTTTTCTCA